CTAGATTAAGTTGAGTTGCCGTTGATAAACTGCGCCAGGTTGGTATCAGAACCTTGCTACACTCCTCGAATTTTTTTTTTCGTTCATCATGGCAAGACGTCGTCGATTACCTGTTTGAACTGAAGCAGAAATCACCCATGACGCCATTGCTGAGCTCCAAGCCCAGATGGCAACAATCACCTCCGCCCTCCACAACCTCAACGTTCACCAACCACCACCACCACAAGCCCTCAATAACGCTGAACGTGATGACAACGACGGCGAAGAGGATGATGAAAAAGTAAACATGTTTACCGCAGCAGCAGCAGTAAAAGATGCTAACCCCTTTGCTCCTCTCTGCAACAACCGTGTCATAGCTCCAGCTAACGTTCAAGCTGCAGAAGCAGATGTTCCATGGGAAAAAGGGTTTAAAACAGAGATTCCAGAATTCCATGGTAACTCCTTTGCTGAAGAACTTCTCGATTGGATAGTGACGGTTGAAGAAATTCTCGAGTTTAAAAGAACCCCAATGGAACGATGTGTTCATGTTCTGACTATGCGCTTTCGTGGACAAACAGCCGCATGGTGGACACAATTGAAGACCACTCGAGCTCGTCTCGGGAAACCTAAAATCTTGTCATGGGATAAATTGAAGTCAAAACTCAAGAAACCATTCTTACCGTATAATTACGATCAGATCATGTTCTAACGCCTCATTCATCACATATGCCAGGCATCATGATCTGTAGCTGATTACTCAACTAAGTTTTTATTGTTACTAACTCGTGTTGACATTCAAGATACAGAACGACAATTGGTTGCTCGATTCACTGCCGGTCTTCGTCAACAAATCCAGCACACAATCACCTTGTTTAATTCATTGACAATTGGTTGCTCGATTCAATCTTTGTTATCGTGGATCGATTCTCCAAGATGGTGCACTTTGTTCCCTGTAAAAAGACGACATATGCAGTTCAAGTCGCAACACTCTTCTTTCGTGAAGTTTATAGATTTCATGGGTTGCCAACTTCTATTGTCTCAGACCGTGATTCACGCTTCTTGGTTCACTTTTGACGAACTCTTTGGAAGTTTTTAGGTACCAGTCTCGACATGAGTTCGGCTTACCATCCTCAAACGGACGGTCAAACAGACGTGACCAATAGATCGTTGGGAAACTTGCTTTGATGTCTTGTTGGTAATTTCATTAAATCGTGGGATACAAAACTTCCTCAAGCAGAGTTTGCTCATAATCATGCACTCAATCGAAGTTCAGATTCAGTCCATTTCAGGTCGTTTATGGTCTTTTTTCTCGTGGCCTTTTGGATTTAACTACTCTTCCTGACCATACCCGTCTTCATGGAGGCGCTGCTGATTTTGTCGACTGCATTCATCAGGTTCATGTGCAGGTTATCACCAATCTTGAGTCCTCCTCGTCAAAGTATAAAGTTGCGTCTGATTCTCATCGTCGCCGTGTCCTATTCGAAGTTGGTGATCAATTTTGGGTGTTTTTCACTAAAGATCGTATGCAAGCTCATGCTTCTAACAAACTTAAGGCAAAGAAAATAGGTCCTCTCACGGTTTTGGAGCATATTAATGATAATGCGTATCCTCTGCAACTTCCCAATCATATCACTACCTCGGATGTGTTCAATGTTCGTTATCTTTCTCGCTATGCTCCACCGGATCCGGTTTCTTATTCGAGGTTGAATCCTTCTAACCCCGGGAGATCTGATGCAGCATCATGATACCTTCACCGCCAAGCAACTATTTTTCCTATTTCGACTTTTAGAAGATTTCCTTTTGTTATTTATGAATTCTTTTTATTAGATATCCTATTTTTGAGAGAGTTAGGTTATTATAAACCGTCTCTAAAAACCTATATAAGGTGTTGTAAGTTAGTTTTAATAAGCAGCTTTTGATAATTAATAAATTAGAGTTTTCTCTCAGCCTTGCATTGATTTGATTATGTTATCAATACAAGAGTTTTGCATCAAAATTGATTAAATTCTTCGATACAAGAAATGAGGTCTCTTGAGATTTAAACTTAAATCCCTAAATTGAAGAGTTACCGTTTATACGCTGCGCTAGCTTGTCATAGGGTCGGCCCTGCTCATTAAGACACGAGTGTTTGGAATAATCCGAAAGCTTCACAAGAACATTTGGTTTCATCACTGTCTCCCTCTGGAATCTGTTGCAATATTGTTAATCCATGGAAGTTTCAGTAAAATGCTTTGCACCTTTAAAGCTGACGTCATCAATAAAATGTATAGGCCATAAAAGTATGGGCCAATGTAATGGGCCTTAATGTGTGGGCTAACAAAATTAAATATATTTACGGAAATGTCGAACTCTCGTTGTAGCCCTCTTATATATAGAAATCGCGAACTAGGGTTTCGGGAGCAGCCTGAGGAAAAGGAATAAGAAAAGGAGCAGCAGCAGCAACCGCAACCATGGTTCTCAAGTAATCAAAATCTCACATCCCTCTCTTCATATGTGACCTTTTTGGTTCATCTAATTGCAATGATTCATGCTTCCACTATGGTAGCGATAGATTTAGTGAATTTCGAATATTACCGTTCGCATTTTGTGGTTGTTTTTTACTGTCTCGTTAGTTTGGTAGTAAAAATCTGTATACTTTGATGAGATTATGTTAAGTTTGTAACTAGTTCTGGTTCTGCTGCCATGTCATTTACCTTTTTAATCCATGTTTATGTAATGATTTGCATCGCCTGAAGTCACAAAACATATGTTGGTGGTCGGTAAATGGTATTTGGATGATTCATTTCTAGCTTGTTAGTCTTAAATATTATCAAACTCTTAAGCCATGTCTCATTTTGTGGTTGTCTTTGGGGATGGTCAGGACGGAGCTTTGTCGTTTCAGTGGCCACAAGATTTACCCAGGAAGGGGAATCAGATTCATCCGTTCTGACTCTCAGGTATTTTTATTAATNGGTGGTCGGTAAATGGTATTTGGATGATTCATTTCTAGCTTGTTAGTCTTAAATATTATCAAACTCTTAAGCCATGTCTCATTTTGTGGTTGTCTTTGGGGATGGTCAGGACGGAGCTTTGTCGTTTCAGTGGCCACAAGATTTACCCAGGAAGGGGAATCAGATTCATCCGTTCTGACTCTCAGGTATTTTTATTAATCTTTTATGGCTATTCATATTGATGTTTTAGTCTCTAATCTACCGTTTTCATGATTCACAAGGTGTTCTTGTTCATCAACTCCAAGTGTAAGCATTACTTTCACAATAAATTGAAGCCTTCCAAGCTTTGCTGGACTACCATGTACAGAAAGCAGCACAAGAAGGTACTAAAATAATCATTGCTTTAGTTATTTTTTTTTTGAAAAAGAGTCCATGTTAGTATCTATGATTCTGCTTTGGATTATGACTGAACTTGTTTGATCTTTATAGGATGCAGCTCAAGAAGCTGTCAAGAAGAGGAGACGTGCCACCAAGAAGCCATACTCAAGGTCCATTGTTGGTGCTACCTTGGAAGTGATTCAGAAGAAGAGAGCTGAGAAGCCTGAAGTTCGTGATGCCGCTAGAGAAGCTGCTCTTCGGTCTGTTTTTCTATTCTATCTCAATTCATTCGATTAAACAACTCTTTAGATTGTCTAAAGTAAATTTGTGATGTTCCTACAGTGACATCAAGGAGAGGATCAAGAAGACTAAAGATGAGAAGAAGGCCAAGAAAGCTGAATTTGCTTCAAAGCAACAGAAGGTTCAGGCTAAGATCCCCAAGGCTGCTGCAAAGGGAGGTCCTAAGTTGGGAGGTGGTGGTGGCAAACGCTGAAGAGCTCAAAACCATTTTCTTCTCACTTTTGTGTGCTCTCTTGCTAGTGGCTACTTTTGTTAGTTAATGTTTATTTCAGACTATTCTGCAAAACGTAAACCTTTTCTTTTGGGCGTTTGTTTCTTACCTTTTGCAACTCTTGAAATCTCAGACTTGAGAATTTTGGTGCTTATCAACTTCATTTCACCTAAAGTTTTCTTATCAGTCTAAACGCGAGTCTTTGTTTGTTCAAACCTTGTTTTAAGGAATGTAAGAGCCAAGCAATTTTTCTTCTAGATCAAAACTCTAAAGGCTGCCTTGAATGAAATTTAATCCTAACATCCCCAACTCATACTTTCTCCATTGTTCATGGGTTTTGTAAATTCTTTTTCATTGGCATATATGGGCTAATGGGCATCTTCTTTTTCTCCTCCTAATTATTTTTTTCTCATTTAATCATCTACTATTTTGTATACATGTATATGGGGATCACAAGAGATATGAAAGTCAAGTCGCAGACGAAGTGAGTCTATAATGTATGATCAATAATTTTCAAACCTATTAAATCAAATTCTATTTTTGTTATATTATTTAGTTTTTCTTTGACTCGATTTAGTTTGGTTTAGATAGTTGAGCTTTCAGAAAATTATAAACGAAGTGAAAGTTCCTAATAAACTTCCAATATTTTTTCCTAATTTCATAATATAATATGTTACGACTAACATACAGATTAAATTTTTTTTTAAAACATCACTAAAATATTCATTAAAACTGATTCAACCAATCATCAATTAAAACTGTTAAATAATTGATAAATTTAGTAAATTCAAAAGTAACTTTAAAATTTCAAAACATCTTATAATATTTTGAATTACTTTAATTAAACGGAGGGAGTACAATTTTCATTTTTGAATGGAAATTTTGGTTAAGGTTTGCTGACATTGGAAACGAGATATTTTATAAGATTTCCCTTGGTTTGAGTATGCTACGTTATTATTAACTCATCGATGGTTAAAATCATATAGGAAACGAGATATTTTATAAGATCAAGTTGTGCATGGAAAGATATCAAGTCGGCCAAACTAATTACTCTTCTTACTATGAAAAGACAAACACGATTTTTCAACTAAATAATACTAAGAGACAAAACAAGATGACGAAGAAAGTAAACAAGATTATTCTGTCTTGCATTATACTTCAACTCTTGTCTTTTCGATCTCAGTCTCCTCATTTCGGAAACAATGAACAAGATCTTTGTCTTCTTCATCGTTTTTCTTCTATTTCCACCACAAATTCAACCCCAAACCATCCCAAGAAACATCAGCATTTTCATATTAGCCGGTCAAAGCAACATGGCGGGTCGAGGCGGCGTTTATGACAATACATCCAAAAACATCGCCGTGTGGGACGGCGTAGTTCCACCGGAGTGTCGACCAAACCCTTCGATCCTCCGCCTCACAGCTAAGCTCGAGTGGGAAGAAGCTAAAGAGCCACTCCACGTTGATATTGACGTTAACAAGACTAATGGTGTTGGACCGGGGATGTCATTTGCAAACCGGGTGGTTAACCGGTTTGGTCAGGTGGGTTTGGTTCCTTGCGCTATAGGTGGGACTAAACTAAGCCAATGGCAAAAGGGTGAGTTTCTTTACGAGGAGACAGTGAAAAGGGCTAAAGCTGCGGCTGTGGCTAGTGGAGGTGGCACGTACCAGGCGGTTTTATGGTATCAGGGTGAGTCGGATACGAAGTCTATGGTGGATGCTTCGGTTTATAAAAAGAGATTAGTCAAGTTCTTTAATGATCTTCGAAATGATTTACAACATCCAAATCTTCCTATTATTCAGGTATGTTAATAGTAGACACAAGTACAGTTTTTAGTATGGGCAATTGGAACTCTCGAAAAAGACACGATTCTTAAAAGAAAACTAAAAAGTTTTTAAATATATATATTAGAATTTAAAACTTTGCTTTTTTAATTATAATATAGGATTTATAATTGTAAAAGTAAAGGTAAACATATGTAGATGCATCAATTAACGTTTAAAACTCTATAATTATTTACACCAAAAAAAAAACTCTATAATTATTTTAAGAAATATATTATTAATTTGATTAGTACTACTACATTCTTCTAATATCTGACTATGTTTTTTGTGTGGGTTTATACAACAAACAACAAAAGGTGGCTCTTGCTTCAGGCGGAGGACCATATGTTGATGCGGTAAGGAAAGCACAACTTGAGACAGATCTTGAGAACGTGCATTGTGTTGACGCAATGGGGTTACCTCTTGAACCGGACGGTTTGCATCTGACCACATCTTCTCAGGTCCGGCTTGGTCAGATGATGGTTGATGCTTTCTTGGCCATTCCCAGTTCAGCTGACTTGTACGTGGCCATTCCCAGTTCCGCTGAATTGTTCTCTGGCTTGTCTGTCCTTGTTCTGCTTCCGCTATTCTTTTTATAGTATTGTTTTTGGACTAACGTTACCAATTGTGGATACTTCATGATATTTTGTTCCAATTATTACAGAGAGAATCTTTGAGTTTTGCTGAACTTGGATAAATATGGGCATGAACAGTCTATCATATATAAACATCTCTGATTGGGTGTATTTTTTTGACATCCTATACATATCACATCTCTGATTGGGTGTATTATTTTTTTTAAACACAACAAAATAATTAAAATTTGTTATACACAATATAATATCCAACCTATAAAACATATGTAACAAAATGAGTATGAAGTAAAAGAACTCCATGAAATGCACCATAAAAAATTTACTCTATCATCGACAACTAACATCAGACTTTATCCCTTCAAATAATCAATTGTGTAATCATTTTTCTTCAAAGCTTATTTTCCAAAAGCTTTCTTTATTTAGTCTTAAAAATCACCAATTGGTTCAAAGAAGACTGAAGCAACACATAGCCCGCCTTTCGAGACGAGTGTGTGTCTATTTACCAGCAGAAGTCCAAAGCAAAACCTTATCGGCTTCAAGCCCAATCGATGCAGACAATATGACTATTTAAGTATTATACAACGATTGGATTATAATAATTTCAGTTTAAGCTACATTTAATACTTTGTTTGTATGTTACATAATCAACATAATGAAAATTTGTAACATTGTATACTTCTTTTTTACCGTAGCTTTAATCTGAAGGCAACCGAATGTATAGCGAAGAAAGAGAAAGGGAAATCATTAGAGACATCAAATCTCCCAAAGTACAAAAACCACAAGTCCCGAAGATTAGTATATACTTAACTCCGGCATTGGATCAAAGCAAAACAAAGTAGGTAGCAGCAGAGTTTGTTTTTCCTCCTCATTTATCAATCCTCTAACTCGATGATCTTGACCACAGATGCATCACCAACTTTCTGACACACCACTACTCTGTCATGCGACTTTATCACTCCTGCTTGTTTCCCATGGTCTAGTGCAACCTTCAGGACTGACTCGTTCGTTGCACTTGTTGATTCCGCCTGCGATAACAACATCGCAGTTTTGCATGTGTTAGAATTTGAACCCAAACAGTTCCAACTAAAACTCTCAACAAGATTTGTTTGAGCCTCTGAAAGGAACATTTGGTTCAACAACCTTGGTCTTAAAGAGTGATAAAGTCTACTACATACTGTTTGTTTCTCAAACAGGGAAAGAGAGATAATATAAAAAGAGAAAAGATGATGAACAAGACTTACAGGGTGACGAGGGTCAGCGAGCATGGGGAAGAGTCCTCTGACAATAAGTGACTGCCTCGCCTGATAAGAGCCACATTGAGTTAATAACCTTAAAACTATCACATGCACAGCATAACTTTGATATTATAAAGTAAACAATCACTGATACAACACATTTGAGGAGTCCTTTTCCGTAAAACGTGTCCATCATTGATACAACACATTTAAGTAAAGATAAAAGAAGTTTGTAATCAATAGCTACAAAAATATGTATGTTTCATTATCAGAAACTTTTTAAAGAGAATGACATACCTCAAAGGCTCCACTAAAGCTCCATTTCAGCTGATTTGTCTTAACCCGTGGAATGACAACAGAAATCACCGGCATTGTTGGCCTGTACTTGGCAATCAACCTGGACAGACATCAAAGGATGGTAATTCATCAGAAAAATATGCTTAAAATAAAACACAGAAAAACAGTTCAAGGCAATAAGAATGCTACGAACCTGGCTGCTCTTCCAGAAGACGTGAAGCATATAATTACAGATGCCTTAACCTTGATGGCTGCCCGTACCTGAACAAGCGTGAATTAAGTTAAATTATAAATTGTGATGCCAATTTGCGTCTTAAAGCCATAAATCTAATATTTTCTTATGTCTCCGCAACAGAGAAGATAGACTTACAGCAGAAGAAGCAATGGATTCCAGATGAGACATCGGTTCTCCAACATACTTGACAGTCTTCTTGAAGTACAAATCTTGATTGAAAACCTTCTCTGCCTGTGAAAAGTTTAAAGAACTATGTAAGACGAAAACAGATGGAGACACAAGCAAATAAATGACACTAGAGAAATATGTCATAAAGCTTTACCTCAGCACAGATCTTTCCGACAATTGATATAGTCTCGACAGGATACAATCCACGAAGTGTCTCAGCACCGAGAAGAATTGCATCACTTCCTGCAGTTACCAAGTAAATTGGAAAACAGACCTCAATGATTTAGTGACAGTTACCAAACCAAACAGATTTTCTACAGAAATATTAGAAGCGTGCACAAATAAACATACCATCTAAAACAGCATTAGCAACATCAGTTGCCTCTGCACGAGTTGGTCGCAAGTTGTCAGTCATACTGTCCACAACACGAGTAAGAACGGCTGGCTTTCCAGCCATGTTACACTTGTAAAGAGCCGCCTTTTGAAACAAAAACACCTGCACAAGAACCCAATAAGATAAATTATTACAGAATGTATAAGTTGGTGCCGGTGAAAAGACAGATTGAATGACCAAACCAACATACCTTTTCTGGGGGAAGATCTATACCCAAATTTCCACGAGAAAGAATAATTCCATCAGCTTCTTGTAGAATCTCATCAAAGTGAGTTAGTCCCTAAAATGAATACAAATATCAGCAAGCTTCTCCTTACCGAAAGGAAGAAAAAGTAGCATAGAGACATCGTATAAAACAAAATATCACTACATTGCATTGCACAGTTTTCACTTACCTCTACATTCTCAATCTTGGCAAATATTTGTGTTTGAGAGAGGTCACCCAACTTTTTAAGCATTTCGCGAGTCTGTGTTTATGGAAAAAAAATTGGTTATTGTTCACATAAGTACATAAGAAGCTCCGTGCAGACACAGAATTTGTGTCTGCACGTCACAACAAGAAGTATAACATAAAAATACAAACCTGGCGAACATCCTCCGCATGTCGACAATAGGACAGCGAGAGAAAATCGATTTTGTTTTGCACTCCCCATGTGCTTATAACCTATATGACAACCAAATATAAACAATCTGGTAAGACACTCAAACTAAAAGCCTAGAGTGTGTAACAGAATGGAACAAAAGCAATCATTGATTCGTAGATGAGCAGCAACTCTCTGACCTCCTTATCTTTCTCAGTAAGAGTTGGCAGATCGATGTGAACTTGAGAGGCGTGCAAAGTGAAGAGAGCACCAGCAAGAGTAGCAGCATTCCTTGACAGACAAATGACATCATCTCCTTTAACCTCATCAACCTGCAGGTTCATTTAGTACGTTAGTCTTGCAACAAATTCAACATAGAGAAACAACCAAAGGCTTCATATTTTTATTACCTCTAGCCAAACTGAAGTTGTTTCACTACCAGTGAACAAGTACTGCCCAACAAAGATAGTGTCTCCTTTCTTCACAGCCTGAATAAAAAAAAATCAAACAGAAACTCCCATCAGACATCTCCACAAGTAAAGCATATAAAGTCATCTCATTTCTATATAAAGAAACGAACTTTAGCAAGGCCATCAAAGTTAATGGGAAGAACTTCAGAAGAAGCTTCTCGATCCTGATTAGGAGTCAAAGTAACAAGCCCATCAGCTTTAAGAGAGATAGGTTTCTCAGACTTGTTGATAACTTGAAGCTCAGGTCCAACAGTATCAAGCATAACCTAATAAACAAAACAAAAAACTTCTCATAAGCAAATGCAAAAAAAAAAAACATAAAAAAAATCAAATGATTCATTAAAGTAACATACAGCACAAAGCTTCTTAGTACTCTTGACAGCAACTTTGAGATTATCAAGCGTCTCCTGGTGATACTCAGCGTCTCCCCAAGAGAAATCGAATCTAGCCACGGACATTCCGGATTTTAGACAGCCCGAGAGTGTCTCCACGGATCGGGATTTCGGACCCAGAGTCCCCACGATCTTGGTTAATGCCGGGAAGAAGCTCTGTGAAAACACAACAAAACACAGATCAGTGATGTTTTATTTGTAAATCGATGTGAGAGAGAGAGAGGTTACGGATTTGGAAGGTTCGAGGATTGAAGCCATCCTGATAGGCTCCTCGAGGAGAAGATGGCTCGAATGCATCTTCAGATGTTCTTCTACGGCTGCAAATTTGATCGGAGAGAAAGAAAGAAAAAAAGTGTTGAGAGGTTTTGGGGATAGTTTTTTATGCGATTTGAGATTTTGACCTAAACACCGTTCGTTCGTTCACTACTGATATCAAGTAGAAGAAAAACAAACCAAGTCTTATTTTTTCTGTTTTAGTCCAAATGTTCTTGTTTTAATACAAGTTATACCCCTTGGTTTTTACGTAACTACTGTTAACCCACAAGCTACTTTGCGTGGGCAACAAGAACATAAATATATACAGCTAGACCGAGGTTTTTTTTTTTATAAATCAACTAGCAGCATATACTAATCCATGGTTTCTAAATCCGTAAAATCCAAAACCATCAAAACGAATATGCCTTACATGAAAAGAGTATAGTTATTTGTGCTTTTGCTTTCTTTTAGCAAATAGTTGTAAAGGAGAAATACGAATTAAAAGTAGAATTCGGACCGGTTCGAATATCACTATTTGATTCCGGATATTTGAGTTGGTTTTTTAGATAAGAAAGCCGTTCAGTTTTTCAGATAAATCAGGTTATAAAGAAATTATATCTATCTGGACCCAATTCCAGTATAACATTTCTTTCTCTATTTCATCTTTCTATTTTGTATGTTTTTGTAACTTTTTAAAACGAAAATTATGAAGTATGAACCAACATAATTATCTTAAATTGGGTTCTAATGTTTTATGACACATTTCACAATGTAAAATTGATGTAGGTGTTACATGATTTTATAATGCGTGTTGTTGCTATCTTATAAAATTTATATTTTATTTTATTTTTCGTTTATAGAAAATGCTATCAAAAAAATAATTACTAATCAACTAAATGAATTGTCAATAATATCAATAAACACAAAAAATATTTGATTATTCAAATTTAATTAATTTTCTTTTTCTTGAATACAAATTTTTTAAAAATAAATAAAAACCTAATAACAAGTTACAGTATTTGATCAAGTATAAATTTAGTTATAACTAAGAGGTATAATTTTTTTAGTTGTGCTTTGGACATCATACCGACACTAAGTAACACTTCCAAGATTTGTTTTTTGTGGCTTCTTCCAAGATTATATTTTTGTGAACGTTTTATAAGTTAATAGTCATAAAATTTGTAGTGCAAAGATATGTTTCCATAGCTTCCAGTTGTAGTGTAAGGCTGATGCACAGAACTCTTCAAAGTCTAGTTTCTTGTATTGAAGACAACTTTTTTGCATCTCAAGAAAATTAGAATGTTTAACCACCAAACTTTAATAATAAAGCTTAGTCCATATAGCTATAGCTTCATTTTTACCATGTGAACAAAATTTAATACTCGTGAATCCTTAGGGCATCATTATCGGTATATCTTACCACATATCTTAGCTTTAATTTGTATTTAATTTAAATGAAAATTATGGAATAACACTAAGGACGCTCTTAGATAAGATGTAAAATCTCGCGTCCTTAGATGATACGTGGCGAGTTTGGAATGGTCGATGAAAAGCGGAGGAACTTGAACCAATTTCGTCTTACAGTTTGTGTATCTTCGTCTCAGTTTGTGATTGTCTGAAGAAAATATCGGTCCTCCTCCTCTCCACATCTCAGCGGAGAATCTAACATCCTGTGTGGAGCAACAATGAGCGTGGCATCATCATCGTCTCCCGATTCAGCTCAGCGGATCGATTTGTTCAACGGCCAGCAGAGTGTCTATTTCGTCCCCTTCAGGTACCTATCTCCCTCTCGCTAAATCGTATTCTTTCCTTCTCTTTGGAATATTCGGAGAATCTGAATCGCATCTTAGTAACTGGGGGAGTTTGATTCGAACAGGTTGAATTTAAAATCGGACGCTGGGTTTGATTCTTGGGTCGGTGGTGAGAAGCTCCTTGTTTCGGTGTTTGGGGCTTACAATCGGACGCTGGGTTTGATTTTCAGGGACTTTGAGTGCCAAGAGAGTACTGAAGTTGCGATTGTTGGCGAAGGTTTGTCCGATCAAGGAGCTGAGTTGAGAATAGGAGATGGGTCTGTGGAGATTCCATGTGTGAAGCTTTGTTATCAGCAAAAGAAAGCGACTTTGGTGGTGCCCAGTGTGTCAAAACAGTTGCTTGCTGACAAGGATTTGTGTGATAACTTCTTGATCAAAACTTGTCATCTCTTCTGCATGAATCTGGTGAGAGAGATTGTCTTGATTCATCTCGTTGTGGATATGTTTTCTTTGCTCAGTCTTATGTGTTGAGAGAATGTGTATAATATCACCTTTGTTTGTTTTTCTGGAGTATGAACTTGTGCTAAATCAGGATCATAGCACTAGCTTAACACTAATCATGAAGTTATCAATCTTCATTTGGGTTCTTATATTTGACTTCAAGCATCATTTGTTTGGTTGCAATAATCACAAACGTAGTGGTTTAAATTTATTCAAGTTGAACTCTTTTTGTTTAGGTTGTTCTAGCTTTGCTGCTGGGGATAGTCTTTGGCTACTCATTGTGTGTTTTTCTTCTGTATTGGCAGATCAAGAAGCATATAAAGGGAGGCCTTGATCATGAAGGTGGGATTTTCACGGTGGAGGCTCCTCTTCACGCCTCAAATGTCCAAGTTGTTGATCCTGTCACTAGGTATGTATGTATGATCTCACTGTGTACTGATCATGCTTGTGTTTAACAAATGTCCTTACCAATATTCATGCTTTGAACAAATGTCCTTAACAAATGTCCTACACATAAAAGTAATATTAAAATAATCTAAGGACTTAAAAAAGTCCTTACCAATAATCATGCCCTTAGTAGCATATGTTGCGGTCTTTAAGATTGCTTGAGATTTGTATGAAAAAACATCAAAATAATGACACAAAATTTTCCAAATGAAAAGAGAAGAGGTAGATGGTATCCATGGAGATTAGAACTGACAGCTTTGTAATTTTGCATGGAGATATATCCATTTTTGCTTGGCCCCAATGTAAATGCTCCCGCAGATAAGTGAGCTGTGGCACAGTTAATGTCTTGGCAAGAGCCTGGAACCATCAATAAAAACACATTTATTATATAGTTGCCAAGTAGGTATAAGTCACAGTTTTTTAGAGCACGAGGGTTCTTATGACAAGGTTCTTAGCAGAATATAAGAATATGTCTTAACTAAAAAAACTAATAACCAATTCTTAAATGTCTTATCTAAGAACCCCTCATTGGAGATGGTCTTATAATCCAACTCAACGCCAAAGCCGATGGTCTCAGGTAACAATTTTAAACTTGGGTTATCTATTCTTATTATATTATATACTCGACGAACTAATCTAGGATTGGACAAATAAATCGAACCCAAAAATCTAGACTGAATCCGATCCGATAAAAAATGAATCTAAACCAATCCGAACCCGACATAAATACCAAATAGATCTTATTTTATGGTATTTCAGGTTATAGGTATTATCCGAACTGAATCCGAACCTAAATGAATATTCGATGAAACCAGAAATATTCAAAATCCCAAACAAACATGATCTCGGTTCTTAATATTTATCCAATATCTATTAAGATATTATTGAACATCTATAATAATTATCTATTACATGAATGTTAATGGTTGAAAGTGGCAGTTGAAGCCTGAAATTTTTAGAATTTAGTTTTGTTTTCATTGTAGGGTTTTTCATTTCATGAGAACTTGGTTTTCATTTTAAATTTTTATTTATTCGGTTTTTTTTCTATTAATAACTATGTTTATCTTTCGTATGATTTTGAATGATCATGTTTTGATGTTCCTTTTGTTATTTTTGAATCAATTTTACTATGGTTTGGTTACAAAATAGGTACAAATCAGGTACTTATAAACAAAATAACTAATTGAGACCCGAACCCGAAATTACAATGGGTTATATCAATTCTTTGAAGATTTACTAACATCGACTCAAACCCGAGAGAATTCGAACCGTCTCAGATCAAACTTTCATATAATTCGAATGGAACTGATTTTGATGAACCCGAAAAACCAAAACCTGATTGGATAAAACTGAAATCCGACCGAACGCACAAGCTTAAACAAACATGGTATTGCCCCTTCTAGGTTCGGCCCACATAAGTTGGCTGTTATCATGGGTACTTAAATGGGCTTACAGATTAAATTACAACATACTTTTCCAAGCGATTCTCTCCTCTTTTCTTCCCTTTCAAATCGATCATATTCGATAAAGATTCCTAACACAATAGCGACAAGACTCGTCAAAACATCAATCAATATTATCAACTTTATAGTATTTTCTAAAGGACACAAAATCTGGTCCCTGCATAGCCAAACCGTTTCGTACTACTTTTGATAAAACAAACCAAGAGCAAATGATTAAACAATTAACGAATAGTACGACTTAATTAATCGGAATTTAATTACATCCATTACCTTCTCCTTGTGTACGATACAGATTATCTTCAAAGTGTGTCACGCTAGAAACCTGATGATGCCTATAAAGCAAAAACGTCTTCTACTACAAGTTTCTCTAAACAAAACAAGAGATATATGATCAAACACTTGACGATGAATGAGTTAATCGGAATATTTACATCCATTGCCCTCCTCATATATGTTGCATGTCTCTTTCACACCAAACGACGTCGTGTGAACCTGCCTCCGGGACCAACTCCATGGCCAGTGATAGGCAACATGTTCCAGCTAGCCGGTTCACCACCACATCACTCATTGACTAATCTTTCAAGGCGTCACGGACCAATCATGACTTTGCGTCTTGGTTCGATGCTGACGGTTGTAATCTCTTCGAGCGAAGTGGCTAGGGAGATTTTCAAGAAGCATGACGCGGCTTTGGCTGGTCGGAAGATTTATGAGGCGATGAAAGGAGGGAAGAGTAGTGATGGCTCGTTGATCACGGCTCAGTACGGTCCGTATTGGCGGATGCTACGGCGGTTATGCACCACTCAGTTCTTTGTCACGCGACGTCTTGATGCTATGAGTGACGTACGTTCTAGGTGCGTTGATCAGATGCTAAGATTTGTTGAGGAAGGCAGCCAAAACGGTACGTACGTAGTATTAACTATATCATCAAAGGTTTTTACACATATAGATTTATAGATTTAGGAGCCCTTTTCAAGACAAAAATATATATAGATCACCTAACGCTTTATAAAATTTACATTTATTATATAAAAAATATGTCTTTAAAAGGTAAGAATATTCTAAATATTATATTAACATATTGTTGTCATTTTCATACACTAACTTCTTAATCAGTTATTTGTTTTTGTCTTATGTTTTATATGTATTTACAGTATAAGAATATGTTTTTTTAGAAGTTGAGCCCCATTCAATTTTTTATGTATGGGGTCAAGCCCTCTTTTGTATATGAAACAAAATTATTCACATCTCGGTAGTCTTGTTCGGTACTACTATCTTCGAATTTGAATTTAGTACTAAGTTTATGATAACATGAAAACTATATGCTTATATTTTTTTTTGCTAATATTCCGATTATATGCTTATAGTTACTTTCAAAATGTATCCATTAAAGGAAATATGAACATAAATCTTAATTTCAGCCTACCGTGTGGTAAAGTCAACTCTTAGACAACTCTTACACATACGTGGTCGTCGTCTGTAGTATGTATCATTGATGGATTTCCCATAGTTTGAGAATGGGGATAAGCCGGCGATAAGTAGTCATGTGGTGTTTATGTGTTACCTACTTGGCTACTTTTGGGTACAGTACTACGCTATACACGCTATATCGAATTATCAGTTGATACTATTTTACATTGTAAAGAGCATATTCACTAAGAAAATATTATATTCAACTATATAAAGATTTCTAGTATAATTTAAGTCATCTCTTGATATGTTTTTAATGCTTCAAAAGTTTGATAAAGAAACCCCAAAATATTCAAAATTTGATCATGAAACTAACAATAAAACGTGTACTATATACATAATTTACATATGTCTAGTAATACTATTTTACATTGTATAGTCACATTCACTATAAAACAATTTTATATCCAACTATATAAATTTTTATCTCCTGATATGTATGATTTTTACGACTTCAATAGCTTAGCAAAGAAACCCCAAATTAAAATATTAAAATATTCAAATTCTGATCATGAAACTAATAATAAACGTGTACTATACATAAATTACAGATATCAAGTAATACTAATTTACATCGTATAGACTATAGAGTAACATTCACTACAAGAAAATATTATATTCAACTGTATAGATTTTTAGCCTAATTCAAGTAATCTCCTAATAGGATTTTAAGATTTAGAACTTTAACCTCCCACTATCATACATCAGACTAATATAAAACGTGTACTATACATAATTTACATATATCAAGTAATACTATTTTACGTTGCATAGAGTCAAATTTGTCTATCATGACATTAATATAAAACTTGTACTATACATAGTGTACTACAATAAAATTTTATGATCAACTATGTAGGGTTTTCTAGTCTAACTCAAGTGATCTCTTGATAGGATTTTAAGGTTCCAAAAGTTGAATAAAGCAAAATCAAAAATTTTGATCATGAAATTTGTAATACAAGTGCGTTATACATAATTTACATATGTATCAGGTACAAAAACTATCGACGTGGGGAGATATTTCTTCTTGATGGCATTTAACCTCATAGGAAACCTTATGTTCTCAAGAGACTTGCTTGACCCCGATTCAAAAAGAGGCTCCGAGTTTTTCTACCACACCGGAAAAGTAATGGAATTCGCAGGAAAACCCAACATTGCTGATTTCTTTCCTCTCCTGAGGTTTCTTGACCCACAAGGCATCAGAAGAAAAACGCAATTCCACGTTGAACGTGCATTTGAGATAGCTGGAGAGTTTATCAAAGAAAGAACTGAGGTTAGGGAGAGAGAAAGGAGCGACGAGAAGACTAAAGATTACTTAGATGTTCTTTTGGAGTTTCGCGGTGGCGATGGAGTTGACGAAGAGCCTTCTAGATTCTCTGCAAGAGATATCAACGTTACTGTTTTTGTAAGTTAATATATTCATGCAATATTCAAAAAGTAGTAGGAGATAATTATACATTTTACTTTTTTTAACCTGAATATCCTAAGTTCATGGAAATGCCCAGACTAATCCTCAAAGGAAGTGTAGGATAATGAAACGTTTGGTAGAGGATTAGTGATTATGTTGGCGTCTAAGTATATATTGTTTTTGCTTAGATAGACTCTTTTAGAAAAATCATTTTTGTTATGACTGATTTGGCACAATATCTATCAACTTTTTGAATACTCATATGTATTATGTTTAATCTATAAGACAAAACGTAACGTTTATAAAATCTTTGAATTGATAGGAAATGTTTACGGCGGGGACGGACACAACAACGAGCACGTTGGAGTGGGCATTAGCTGAGCTACTACACAACCCAAGAACCCTAACCAAACTCCAAAACGAACTCCGAACCTACTTAAAATCTCCGAACGAAAAGCTCCAAGAAGAAGACCTCACGAACCTTCCGTATCTCTCGGCGGTCATCATGGAAACCCTAAGGCTTCATCCACCACTTCCATTCCTGGTCCCACACAAGGCCATGTCCACTTGTCACGTCTTCGACAAATACACTATCCCTAAAGAAACACAAGTCTTGGTCAACGTTTGGGCCATTGGTCGTGACCCTTCAACATGGGTCGACCCGAATATGTTCAAACCCGAGAGATTTATAAACGACCCGAATCCAAGAGACTTCAAAGGACAAGATTACGAGTTTTTACCGTTCGGGTCGGGACGAAGGATGTGTCCGGCTTTGCCTTTGGCGTCACGGGTGTTGCCGTTGGCGATTGGGTCGATGGTGAGATCGTTTGATTGGGCCTTGGCTGATGGGCTGAGTGGAGAAGAAATGGATATGGGAGAAAGGATTGGTATTACATTGAAGAAAGCTGTTCCTTTGGAAGCGATTCCCATTCCTTATCGAGGGGATTAGATTTGGGCATGCTTCTAGCGATGTATAGCTAAGACCGGATCCAATATGAGTATATATACTCCCAATAAAAAGGATCTGTAGTGTGAGTAAGTAACGTTGTTTCCGAGAATTTGGCTGACGGTGTCGGTTACGAGCTAGTGGTTAAAGTTGAGCACATTTGGCGTTGTTTTGTTTGTTGGAAATAAACACTACTAGATAGTTTTTCTTTTTATATTTGTGCTTCGATGCATACGTAGCAAGCAATAGTGTCTGTATGCAAACGTGACATGTAATTAGCTATCAACCCATCGTCCCTTCCAAAAGTCAGAACCTTTTGGCTCCCATATTTCTAAAGACCACAAATTAAAAAAAAAACGATTAACAAACTAAGCTCACTCAAGAACTTAATCTTGTTTTTAAAAAGGGTACATAATGAGTGAAATCATCGTTTTTGAAAAGTAGATGATTACACCAAGATGTAAAATTTATATACGATAATAAACAAAGAGCATCATTATCGCAGGTGATAAAGAGGTTTCTACTGGCGTAGATCTCACAAAAGTGGCAAGAGTCAGTCACAAAAAAATAAAACAAGGATTGATTTTGAAGTAATTTTTTACTGTTCGCGGATTTCACTGGCACACGTGACAGTCTGTGATTTAATTCGTTTTTAAATTATTTTTCTGACAAAAACAAATCTTTAAAAACCCCATCTAAGAGTCATGAGATAATCATGCTCTGATGACAATGATCAAGTATCTAAACCGAAACTTTTTTTTTTGGTAAGAAGTATCTAAACCGAAACTTCTGTTACGATTTATTATATTAATTTAAGTTGAGAAATAGAAATATCCACCACTGCAACTATTATCTCAAGAACTTCCTCTAGCGATAGTTCTCATTTTACATGATCACATACAATACGCCTGGAACATAATGAGTTTGCGGAACACAAACATGGACCATGGAGCGGCATTTCTGAACTATGTAATCAGTGGATGGTGAAGTTCCACATTAGTGTGCCCTGCGAGCATACTGAATAAACGATGACAGTGGATTATGCATACCCACGAATTCAGCTACTAGAGAGTCGATAGTCTCGTAACATCTTCTTACCAAAATGTCATTAGACAATAATATCGATTCACCAGCAACCTTAAACAATCCAAATGAAAACTCAAACCACAGAACAAAACTAACACACACAAAAAAAAAAAAAATTCTACAATTCGAAACAAACATTCCGATTTGTTATTACATTATCCGATGATTAAGACATAAAAAAAAAAAAAAAAGACAGAATCAAAGAGCTTTAAGCATATCCTCAGCACTAGAGTTAGTAAAGGCCCCACCATCTTCAAGATTCAAAACCTTAACAACCCCATCCTCCGCCAAAATCGCATACCTCCTCGACCTAACCCCAAGTCCCACAGGCTTATCCCTCAAATCCATCTCCACACCAAGCTTCCCCGTAAACTCTCCATTCCCATCAGATAACATCATCACCTCCTCATCCTCTATCCCAAGATCCTTCCTCCACGCTTCCATCACAAACGCGTCGTTCACGGATAAGCACGCGATGACGTCTACGCCCTTGGATCTGAGCTCTCCTGCTTTGGAGACGAATCCAGGGACGTGTTTCTGGGAGCAGGTGGGTGTGAAGGCGCCCGGGACGGCGAAGAGGATGGTTTTTTTACCGGAGGTTAGGGAGGAGACGGTGACGGTTTTGACGTCGTTGGTGGTGGGGTCGAGGTAGGAGAGTGTGGAGTCTGGGAGTTTGTCTCCGAGGGAGATGGAGGAGGTGATGGTTGTTGAGGAGGATCTTGTGGTGGAGATGGAGATGTGGTGGGTGTGGGATTTGAGGGAGAGGTTAGGAGAGAGGGAGCGTGTGAAGGAGATTGGTGATGTGAAGGTGGAGGTTGGGGAGAGTGATGGTTTGGTGACGGAGATGGAAGTGGCTGAGGAGGAGACGGAGAGAGAAGTCGCCATGAAATGATAGTGTTGAGCGGTTTTAATGAAATGTTTGTGTTGTTTGGTGAGTGTGATTCGAGATTGTGACTTCTCGGATGAGGAGAGAAGAAAGGTGGTAACTAGGAAGCTCCGTCGTTATTGAGCTGTTTGTTTGTAAAATGGGCCTGTTGTTGGCAAATTGTGGAGTAAATATCTTATGAGCATGCTAATTAGCATGTAAATATTAAAACAAGAAGTGAATGAATATACTAATTTAACAATTTTACACTATAACTAGGATAAGATCCGCGCCTTGCGCGGAATGAAGCTATTATTTTTATTATGTTTTTCAAAATGAAACAATAGTTCGGTTTCATTTGGATTAGAGGTGTTCAATTCGGATATCGAGTTTCGGTTCGGCTCGATTTTTTGGTATTTCAATCATTAAAATATAACTACTATTCTAAATCTATATGTACTTCAGTTTGATTTGGTTTATATACCATCAGTTTTCAGTATATTCAATTTTATATCAAAAAAAATAATTAAAAAACAAAACAAAAGCATGAAAGAAAAGTTTTTATATCCATATTTAGTGTTCATCAAACCAATATGTATTCGATTGAACACAACTCTGTATGTTTAAAGATAAAAAAAAGTTGTAAAGAATTTCAACTAATTATTGTCCATCAAATTTATAATCTTTACTTCAATTTAGTTACGGTTAAAAAAAGCAAAAGATCAAAATAAGAAGTCTTAGTTGTAATAAATTGTTAGCTATTTACAAATTATAATTATAGTTCAACTCATGTAACAAATAGATATTCATGCGTCGTTATAAATATATACATATTTACATGTTTCAATTGAATCGATTATAAATCAAACCATATCCAAATCATATGGTTTTTATAAAATCACATCCATTCGGTTTGTATGGTATATACCAAAAATAACCATATTATCGATTGTTAATATCTTTTAAAAATATAAAATTAAAAAAGAACTAAGATATTTAAATCATTGATAACAAAAAATTTCAATGTGAAAAATTTAATAAGTTTATAATTTATAAATATTTTTGCAAATTTATTGAAAATTTTGAAATTAAAATATTCATGTAATCTTATATGGTATATAGTTTAATCTGTATATATATATATATTTGTTTTATTATTGAATGATGCTTTTTACTTATATGGTTTTAAAATCATGTATATCTTTTTATAATAAAATGTTAAACTATTGATCATTAATTTTTAACATAATAATTTTAATAGTTTAGTTATTTATTCTCGTTTCTTAAAATTCAAAATATAACCTATACGAAAAAATCTAAAGTTTAATTTTTATAGCTAATTTGATTGTTTAATTTATTTTAATAATATAAAATTAAAGAAAAATGATGGAGGATATATAAACTGTTATCAAATATTTATTATTAAAATTATTAAGTGTCATATATATATATTAGTTATTTATGGTAATTCCGTAGGTTTTATTTATGGAAATAAAATAAAATAGTAATTCTATCTTAGGGAACAATCATTAAGTGTCATATATATATATTAGTCATTTATGGTAATTTCGTAGGTTTTATTTATGGAAAGAAAATAGCATATCATATCATTATATCATATAGTTTGACTAACTAATGTATCTAGCAACCTATAAAAATCCAATGTGGACTTACTTATTTTTCAATTGAATCTAATTGACTACCTAATTGAATGACACCTATGCATTGGGGCCTCTTTTAATTAATACAAAATTGAGGTTACATCTTTNTCATATCATTATATCATATAGTTTGACTAACTAATGTATCTAGCAACCTATAAAAATCCAATGTGGACTTACTTATTTTTCAATTGAATCTAATTGACTACCTAATTGAATGACACCTATGCATTGGGGCCTCTTTTAATTAATACAAAATTGAGGTTACATCTTTTCAAATGTTCCTCAATTAATATATAGGGGATTCCCGTAATTAGGCTATTATATTTATTTCCACAAAAAGATAAAGTATCTTATGAGCTATTGTTTTTTTTTGAAAGGATCTTTTATGAACAATTGTTAGAGGATATTCTTTTTTTTTTTTACTGAATTTGTTAGTGGATGTTATGTAAATGGGTTTTATTTACTTCATAAAAGAGCAAAAAAAAAAAAAAATTGGGAAAACTTTTTTATTTGAAAACATATATTTTTTGTGTTTTCAACAGGTATCTATTATATTAAAAGAGAAGTCATGACTCATTTCATGTGTGATTTTTTAATTTGGACCATTATTAGAAATTTTATAAAATTTTACATAACATTATTATAATATCTTTTCATATCTTTAATTTTTGTTTGAAATACAAATAAACAATTTTAAGAAGATTCTAACAAAATCTTGTAAGAATCTTTTCAAAATATAGTTTCAAAAATTATTTGATAAAATTTAATTATCATAAAATATAATTAAAATTTTAATTCATTTTGAAATTTATGAACAAAAAATTAAAATTATGTAAAATACTTTTAACAATATCCCAAAATTTTGTTTATGTATTATGTAGGTCCAACTTAATTTAATTTTTACATATATTTCAAATTTAGAAATAAAAAAATAGAAATTAGTAATGTTACATAAAAATGTTTTTAAAAATTGTTAGAAAAATAAAAACTTATAAATTTTAAATTAATAATATTATAAGACAAATAAATATTATTATAAAACTGGATAGTATACAGAATCAAATTACATGTATATTTATTTATTGATAACTTTTACTCCCTCCATTTCTTAATATATGATGTTTTGCATCATTGCACAAAGATTAAGAAATTTATATTCTTATAGAAAATTATTTTTAAAGATATAATTTTAAAATCATTCAACCAATTATTAAAAAGACAGTAAAATTTTATTGGTTGAACAATTTTCAATAAAATTAAAGGTAACCTTAAAACTTCAAAATATATTTAAAATCTCAAAACATCTTATATTTTGAAACAAAATAGATCTTTTAAAACATCATCAAATTTAAGGAAAGGAATATTATATAATTTCAAATATTTTTGTATTAAAATACCCGCACGGTTGTGCGGGTCGAAATCTAGTAAAGATTGAAAATCATTGGAAAAGAGAAAGAGTAGAATTGTTGTTCATGATATCCAAAATCAAGAAAGATTAAAGAAACAGAGATGTGGACACAGAAACAAAGATCTTGAAAAGGAATTTGCGGATGGAATATTCGTTAACTTGAATTGGTTGGTCACTGCGATTGCTTTTCTACTTGTCCTCAGGTTACGTTTTTTGTCACATTACATGCACCTACACCTTTTGCCGTCCCAATTCTCAACATTAGACATTGACCTTTGTCATACAATCTTTTACTTTATATTATAAATAAAGCTATATATGTTTGTGGAAGTGGAATGTCATAATGATAGTTAAACCCAATTGCTATCAGAAAACACTTGATTTTGTAAAGTTTGTAATATAAGCTGTCACAAATATTTATTTAAATATGCTACTGGTAGAGGACTAACAACTTGCGGGGATAGCTCAGTTGGGAGAGCGTCAGACTGAAGATCTGAAGGTCGCGTGTTCAATCAACGCTCACCGCATACTATTTTTTATTCCCTAAGTTATGGTTTATACGACATCGTTTGTTAACAAAAAAAATGCAACTAGGCTTTATTAAGAACGCGATCGCCTAGCCAATTAATTGGCCGCGTAATCGTAAGTCGTGTATTCACCAAGGCGAGTTGACCCAATTCGGATGAATTCTACAGCGAACCGAATAATGCCCGTGGAGACCGATTTTTAATTCGATCCACGCTCACCGCATACTATTTTTTATTCCCTAAGTTATGGTTTATACGACATCGTTTGTTAACAAAAAAAATGCAACTAGGCTTTATTAAGAACGCGATCGCCTAGCCAATTAATCGGCCGCGTAATCGTAAGTCGTGTATTCACCAAGGCGAGTTGACCCAATTCGGATGAATTCTACAGCGAACCGAATAATGCCCGTGGAGACCGATTTTTAATGCTAGGCGAGAGAGGAATTCAGAAAAAAAAATTCGGTCATATTAACTTAATACAATTTGGCCCAATACTAAAGGCCCATTAGTACTAGAAAGTTAAAAAAATCTTCATTTATCTTTGCCAACAACAAAATTAGGAAGTTTTGATAACCCTAGTTTAACTACTCTTCTTCAATTCAAGTGAATCCAAATTCATCCATTGATTTCCAATCCTTATTGTACCGGATTCAAGGTAATAAACACTAAATCCTTCTTGTTTTAAGTTATTAAAGCTTCTTCTCAAATTGTGGATTCGTATCTTACATATATTTCTTTTATAGTTCAGTCAAAAAGTTTAGTTTAATAGGTTATTATATAAGTTGACTTTGTCGATTATTGTTACCATGAAGTATAAGTTCCGTTCACGTGATTGGAAATTTATCACTTTGTGTACCAATTCCTTTTTTTTGTCTATTTTATCTTTGTCTCTTGTCTTTATCTTTTTTTTATTTACAAGATTATACCTTTTTTTTTGTTCAACTTACAAGATTATTCTAAGAACTCGACAACTCTTATTAAAGTCAACAAAACTTTTATATTAACTCGTTTAAATTTGTGAGTTTAATTTTGACTTATAATTTCTCTATATGTGGCTTGATTATTCAGGTTAAAAAGAATGGATATTCCTCCAACAGATTCACCTCCACGCCTTAAGAGAAACTCTAATGATGTAGGATGGGAATATGGAGTTTTGTGTGATGCACGATTCCTTGACAAAGTCAAATGTTTATTGTGTGGAAAAGAGTTCTCTGGTGGTATATTCAGAATGAAGGAGCACATTGGTCATCTGAAAGGAAACGTTGAGGCTTGTCCAAAGTCAACTAAAGGAGATCAAGAGAAGTGTAAAAAGGCTTTAGCTGAAACTAAGAACATAAAAAATATGAAGAGGAAACATGAGGAAGCTTTGAGGGCAGAGGTTGATATAAGCAAAGATACTGTCATTGAACAACTAGAAAAATAGCTTGGAACTTTTAAAAATCCCCACTTCTGATATCTTGTGATTTTCATTGAATTAACTAACCATTTCTTATACATATTAGAGTTTAGGATTGCATAAAAGCATTTTAGGTTGC